TGAATATGAGCCCTGAAGTGGGCAACCTAAAGATAATTTAGGACGAGGATTTGAGGACCCTGGTTTAGACTCACCCATCACAAATGGTGCACGGGATGGCGAAAAAACTGGGCGTCAACTCCCATTGGGTTTTTGATGCTCCAAAACGTATTGAAAACGTCAAAAAGCTCGAAAGATGGTGCCCAAACTTTAGTTGCGTTTGCGCAACCTAAACGATCTTTTTTGGATCGGATTGTCATGTGTGATGAAGTAAGTGGATCCTTCACGACAACAGGAGACGTTCAGGACAATGATTGGACACCAATGAGCCTCCCAGACACTTCCCAAACCCACCACAAAAATACCATCGTTACTGTAAAGTGTTCAGCGGCTCACTATAACTTTCAGCAATCGGGCCAAACCATCTCAGCAGAGTCCTATTGAGAGGAAATCGACGAAAAGTACCGAAAATTGCGCCAGCAGCAGCCAGAATTGGTCGACAGAAGAGGCCCGATCATGCTCACGGCAACGCTCGTCTGCACGTTTCCCAAATCACCGTCCGAAAATTAAACGAATTGAGCGCTGAAGTTCTACCTTACCCACCATACTCCCAGACCTCTCGCCTACCAACTACCGACTTTTCAAGCACTTTCACAACTTTCTCACCGGTAGAACCTTCGCCAATCAGGTCAAGGCAAATACAGCATTCGTCGACTTCATCGAATCCCGAACACAATTTTCAAGCTGACGGAATTAATTGACTTGTGTCACGCTGGCAAAAGTGCACTGATTCAAGTGGAGCTGATTTCTATTAATGTGAATAAGTATTCACTGAGATATTACAGTTCAAAACGAAGAAAATTTGTGAAACAACCTAATATATAGAACTGAATGACATATCTTGCAATATTTTAGTGTTTGAGAATGAAACATAATTCAATTACTCGAGCGTTTGTGTTAGGAATCACACGTTAAAAGGAAATATCTTGTTAGTACTTAGCTCGCACAAGTTTCTCAACTTCTGAGAGTGGTCGTTCGTATGGGGGCGACAGCTGATTAACGGAAAAACAAGATTTTTTAAAACAGATTTTTGTTTTCACACAGGTAGACATTGAAAGTATGCCGACCGTCAAAAAAATTTAATGTATATTTTGAGGCGAGATAAATCCAGAGAAGAAATATTTCAAAATGAATGAAAAATACTCAAACCTCAACTTTCATACAAATTCGGTTATACAAATACAGATAAATGCAAATTTTTCACAGAGAAAATTTATAAAGATTCTTATTGTAGAGCTGGAGAAACTTACTGAAATATAATACAATATCCGCCGTGACATTTGCCAGAGAAGTAGTTCTTATGCGACAAACATGTGGCATTGTTTCCTTCCGAGTTAGAAAGCTGGGATACATGAATGTTTCGAAATTCAGTGGAGATATCAAGGATGACTTACACTTCTCTCTGGACTTTCAACTTATCCATTCGTACATTAATGATATATACCCCGTTCTACCCTCTATTCAATTTTCATTAGAAAAAATCATAAGTCCTTGCAAGAACACATTGCTGGGAGTATTTTTTCATGAAACCATCTAATTTTGCAAGCTTGTTAACCCCAGAAGGGCCTCTGATTTAGTCTCGCAAAAGAACACCCCCGACTACCCTTAATTCAATTTTCATTAAAAAAAATCATAAGTCCTTGCAAAAACACATCAGTAACCCCAGAAGGGTCACTGATTTTGTCTCACGAAAATACACCCCCTTCTACCCTTAATTCAATTTTCATCAGAAAATATCATAACTCCTTGCAGAAATACATTGCTGGGAAATTTTTTCCATGAAACCATCCAATTTGGCATGCTTATTAACCCCAGAAGGGCCGCTGATTTAGTCTCGCGAAAGAACACCCTCCGACTACCCTTAATTCAATTTTCATTAAAAAAAATCATAAGTCCTTGCAAAAACACATTGCTGGGAGTATTTTTTCATGAAACCATCGAATTCCGCAATCTTGTTAACCCCAGAGGAGTTGCTGATTTTGTCTCACGAAAATACACCCTCTTCTACACTCAATTCAATTTTCATTAAAAAAATCATAACTTTTTGCAACACATTGCTGGGAGTATTTTTTCATGAAACCATCGAATTCCGCAATCTTGTTAACCCCAGAGGAGTTGCTGATTTTGTCTCACGAAAATACACCCTCTTCTACACTCAATTCAATTTTCATTAAAAAAATCATAACTTTTTGCAGAAACACATTGCTGGGAATATTTTTCCTTGAAACCATCGAATTCAGCAAGCTTGTTAACCCCAGAAGGGTCGCTGATTTAGTCTCGCGAAAGAACACCCCCGAATACCCTTGATTCAATTTTCATTAAAAAAAATCATAACTCCTTGCGAAAACACATTGAAAGTTCATTCATAACCGCCTATACTCTGTCCATCCAACAAAAGGAGTGCTTCAAAACAGAGTCGCACCAAGAAATGACCAAAATTTTATTTTTTAAGCTGCCACCTCAGGCGTTAAAACAACTGACCACTCCGACTCTGTGGCGCGAACATTGATCCGCCAATTAACTGCTTCCTGGCGTGATTCCCGTGCAATTCTGAGGATTCCACAAGTTTTCAAGAGAGAAAGTCATTTTCTATTAGCATTCAATCAGCACATATCAGTCATTGTTATTTTCAGTGCTAAGAAAAATAATTGAATTAATTATATACAGGGTGTAACATAAGTACGTTGAAATATTCAAGTGACGTATTCTTAGCTCCTAAGGCGCTAAGTGAAATAACTGAGAACATTACAAAAACTAAGTATGTGGTGGATCTCGTCAAAATATTTTTTTTCCTATAAAATGTTCGATGAAAATACCTGAAATTGCAAAAAACGTATGACAAAACTAAACATGTTTTGAAAAATTTCAACAATCAATATCTCGAAAACGAATGAGTTTTCGATGAACATTTTAAAATGAAAAGTTGTTCATTTTGACGAGATCCACCACATACTCAGTTTTTGTAATATGTTCAGCAACTTCACTCAGAGCCCCAGGAGTTGTGTAATATGCATCGTTATAAAAAATTATAAATATCTCGAAAACTATTACCTCCAGCGTTTTTGAGAAAGTTTACCTTTTTTACTTGGAAACTAGGTTTTTTCATTAGAGGTACCAAAAGTTTACTATAAAAAAAGTTAGGGCAATTTGAAATAAATAATGACAGCTTACGCAGCGCCCTCTAGATGTTACATGAAAATTAATCCTCTGGGGTTAACAAGCTTGCGGAATTCGATGGTTTCATGAAAAAATACTCCCAGCAATGTGTTTTTGCAAGGACTTATGATTTTTTTTTAATGAAAATTGAATTAAGGGTAGTCGGGGGGTGTTCTTTCGCGAGACTAAATCAGCGGCCCTTCTGGGGTTAATAAGCATGCCAAATTGGATGGTTTCATGGAAAAAATTTCCCAGCAATGTATTTCTGCAAGGAGTTATGATATTTTCTGATGAAAATTGAATCAAGGGTATTCGGGGGTGTTCTTTCGCGAGACTAAATCAGCGACCCTTCTGGGGTTAACAAGCTTGCTGAATTAGATGGTTTCAAGGAAAAATATTCCCAGCAATGTGTTTCTGCAAAAAGTTATGATTTTTTTAATGAAAATTGAATTGAGTGTAGAAGAGGGTGTATTTTCGTGAGACAAAATCAGCAACTCCTCTGGGGTTAACAAGATTGCGGAATTCGATGGTTTCATGAAAAAATACTCCCAGCAATGTGTTCTTGCAAGGACTTATGATTTTTTCTAATGAAAATTGAATAGAGGGTAGAACGGGGTATATTTTCGTGAGACAAAATCAGCGACCCTTCTGGGGTTGATAAGCATGCCAAATTCTATGGTTTCATGAAAAAAAATTCCCAGCAATGTGTTTCTGCAAGGAGTTATGATTTTTTCTAATGAAAATTGAGTTAAGGGTAGTCGGGGGTGTATTTAATTATTTGACAGAAAAAATATTCCTAGCAACAAATTTCCTTTTGGAATTATTTTTCTACTTCTATTATTATCAGTTGTTTGTACAATTTCAATAAAATGCGGTTCATTTCATAAAAAAAAAGGATTTTCATCATCATTTGAATCATTTCCAATCACATCAGTTCGTTTCCAGCAATGAGTCTATCAATGTAAAAATTTTCATGGCTAGCCATATGAATAATTGCGGTGAAACGACCTATGGGAGAATAGCGCGCTCGCCTCTCTTTCACCAAACACATGGATGAAAACACATGGCCACCTTCACACTGGTAGCTGTTGCCCCCTTACGAACGATAACCTTCTGATGTCTACACTTGTGCGAGATAAGGATTAACGAGGTCTCGCCTTTTAACTTGCGATTCCTATCACAGGTTGGACGATAGGCAGTGAAAATCGATTGTCCAGCCTTACGACTCGCACTACCATTTCGCCTGAAGGTTGATTGAATAAGTGGAACAAACCACTCACGCCAACTCAACCAGCTATCATCCCACCTTTTATATGAACTTTCTTTCATAAAATATGACATCACTTCCCGAAATTGAAGTCAGCACTCAGCACCCTGTATATATCCAAAGATGTGGCTTTAATGTTAAATTATTAGGATTATCATCTATAAAGTCTTGGAAACCTTATAACATTTATCTAATAATAAGGCTTTCGCTCAATGTTGTAATATGGATTGGATTACCTTCCTACTTGTTTGAATGTTTCTGATAGTTCACTATAAAATATAACTGCATTATAATAAGAATACTTTTAAATAGTATGTTGTTCTATGTTTGGAAATTAATAAAAAGAAATGACTTTTCAACAGCTTCGTCTTCTGGGTGGGGAAGTATCTCCACATTTTTTTCAAAACAAAATATTACCAAGGACTAAACTCAACACATCTTCATTATATTCATTATACTCTAGAAGGATAGTAACTTGTCCTTTACAAGATTACACTAAGGACTAGTCTCCTGCATTCTTTCCAAAAGATCTGATGATAAAGTAACCTAATCTATATAATAATATTACCTGTCTGCAAAGAACTGTGTGGCCACATCTCCAATAGGTAGTTTAGATAGTACAACATTGGCTCCAGATTCATGAATTTTTTGTAGTTTATTGTACAATATATTCCATTCAGCATCCACAATCTTCTGGTATTCCTTAACATTATCCACTCTTACTTCTGCATTATCCCTTTCAGCTTTGAGTTCAAGTTCAATATTGAGAAGAGCAATTTTACAATTTTTGTAAACTTTGGGTTGCATCTCAAATCCAGCATATGAAAAGGTTTTTTTGAAAGCAACGCCTGCAACTAACATTGAATCTTCTAATGCCCCACCCTGAACTTTTTTGATACCAATCATGTTTAGTGGCAGTAAGTCATCCAACAGTAAAACTGCATCTACGACCATTTTAGAGAAGAAGGCACGCTGCTGATTGATCAACTTGGAACTCATTGCCGTTGCTGCACATTTTTCCAGTAATGATCTGAACTCCTCAGCACTGGACTTGTTTACTTTTACAGATAATTCAGATATTTTATCGAGACAGATTTGCAGCGACTGGCGCACAGCTTTGATTATGATTCTAGGATGCACACCTTCTTCTACGTACTGCTTTATTTGCTTCAAAAATTCCCCTGCTAATAGTACTACACTTGTAGTTCCATCACCTACCTCAGCGTCTTGAGATTTGGCGATATCTACTAGAGTTTTAGCAGCTGGGTGGACAATATCTAGTAGTTTGAGTATTGTTGCTCCGTCGTTTGATATCGTAGATTTTCCATTTCTCTGTACTATAAGTTTATCCATGCCCCTGGGTCCCAATGTGGTTCGAACTGCATCTACTACATTTTGGCAGGCGTTGACGTTGGATATCAATTGAGGTTTTCCTTGAGATGAATCAGTGCCCTCTTTCAAAATCAAAATTTGTGGTTGCTGAAAAAAGTTTTTCAGGTTTGAAAAATCATGTGTTCACATATCCCCGGTTAATCATATACACATGTTCGGATACAATTGGAAATGTATGAAATGACAACTTTCAATAAAAGACACTCACCATCATTTTCTTTTCGTTATTTTTTCACTTGCGCTAACAAAAGTTTTTAGGAAAACGTGATTCGTCTTCAAGAGAAATCAGAAATTTACCAAACCAAACCTATCACCTACCAGTGTGAAATTAGTCAGTTAGTTAGGAACTAGAATTCTAGAAACAACAAGAAAATTACTAAATTCATTTTCTCTCGGATTGTCATACTGATAATTGACATAACCTGTCAAATTTTTTTGCATAACAGGACGAGTTCGTAAATTCACCAATTGATATGATGAATGTATATCATAGATAATCTATATACTCATCCAAATAATATATTATAATATCTATGATTCACAAAATGCTTCTTTTATGTAACCATTCCACAGAAAAACTCTCAGCTGGTCCCGACGGAATTCCTTTGCAATATTTCTTTCTTTATCCATAACTCCAATCCACAAATCTGGGGATAGAGAAAACATTAAAAACTTTTTAGGGTAGTAGATAATGTTTGTGATGCAGAACTGTTACAGTTAGGCATAACTTATCTCGTTGGTGTGAAATAAACATGCTTCATTCAAATATAAATAAGTGTTATCAAACAAGGTTTCCAAGAACTGTGAAATCTATTGTATATCCATACAAAATCAAAAACATTCCTCTAATGTAGACCAACAGCTTTCGGGGCTTGGAAGTGTCGTTTGATAACAAAGTAACCTTTGAAGCTCACATTGATCACATTGTATCTAAATCAGTCAAAGTATTGGGATTTTTGTTCAACGATCCACAGACAAATTTTCTATAAATACCTTTAAAATATAGGAGTAGGTACTCCGATTTTCTGCTACTTTTGAATTTGTCTACTTTTGAAGCACCGCCTAGCTGAAATTGATTTAAGACTCAAGTTGAAAGGGTATATTTTCAGGAAAGATCAATTTTTGGGAAAGAAAGTTTTTGGTCTTTTACTTCTACATCTTGATACAAAAAATATGTGAATCTTCCATGTTTATATGAAAATAGCTGTTTCGAAAGGGCTTCTTTTCCAGTTTGTGTCTGAAAGTTACTTCTTTGCATGATCTAGGTAAACATATTTGTAATTTTTTGAAATTGATTCCTTCCTTTCTCAAGAAGATTCCTACATTTTTTGTATCAAGATGGAGAAGTACAATGCCAAAAACTTTCTATGCCTATGACTGGAATTTAATCAAATAAGCGAATGAATGTTATTTGCGTACTGTCTCCGATAACATAGGTGGATTCGACCCATTCTGTGACAAAAAGTCGTTATTACGAACGAATTGAATGTTTTTTCTTATAATGTTATCCGTATTTGCTCCTGAAGCGCCGATAAGGCAAGTGTTTTACGGAGAAACATTGGATGTCTAGCAGTGAGGATGACAGTGTTCCATGTAAGTGAAATTTTACCATTCGTTTAGAATATTGTGTAGAAATTCTGTGAATGATATCTGATTTGATTCCATTACGAATGTTTGGAATACAAACGGAATAAAGAAAATTGTTCTTCGTATAATTTAGCGTTCATATAAAAGTATTCGTTTCGAAAATATTTTTCTTTCGTGTAATTCGATGTTTATATGAAAATAACTGTTTTGAGAGAGCTTTTTCTTTCAGTTTGGATCTGAAAGTTACTTCTTTGCATGATCTGCACATCTTTTTAAAGAATTAATTTTTGAAATTGATTTAAGACTTCTTCATAAAGTTGACATGAACTGACACAACTGATTAACTTCAATGTAAATTCAAGAAGAACCAGAGTATCATAGTTGTTTAAAGTTCCTTGCCATTCTACTAGCTATAGCTTAAATGAATCCATTACTAGAATATTTTTAGGCTAGCAAATGAATATTCGATTCATTCTTATATTCTTCCAAGAAACAGGTCAAAAGTATTAACATCTACCACGAAGAAACTGCTGATTATTATTAAATAATTAATTAAAATTTTGTATTCTTGGTATTCTATATTATTGTTCAATTGTTTATTTTTCTCTTACACTATTTATATGTTTATTGTAAAATGGCAAGTCCGTAAATGAATAAATAATATTCTTGTTTGATTGTGATTTTTTCTCTGGTTTGTTATTTTTCCTAATAATGAATAATTTCACTGCACCCATTTTTTTAAAATTTATGTTTATGATTAAATATTTGTTTTTACCTGAAATAGATAGTTGTAAAATGAGATACACATCATTAGTATCAGTATCAGTAAAGAAGAGTAGAAAAATACCCAGTTGCATTTCTCGGAAACGAGCAAGCCTAAACTTCTATTTGAATCGCAACTCTAAAAACAAAACGAATTCTTTAATTGTTGAAAATAATCTCTTACTCCAGACATGCATAACAATTGTGTGAGCATGGAATTGCGTTAGACTCTTGTGAAATATATTTGTGATAGGTAGACCAAACAGTGTAACATTTTCTATGAAAAATGTCAACAATATGTTTTCTGTAATCCGCTGTGGTTGAACACATTAATATAGTGTTCAAATTCTGAGTTTGAGAGAAGAACTTCCAAAAGTGAGTTATATCATATTATAAAGGTAATACAATGGTTATATAATCCTGAGAATAAGTCGGAATTTTATAGTTAAATCTCTGAGTTAAAAGTCAAAAAATATAAAAATTCCTAGTGTGACGCTTCCTTAGAAAAATAATTTCTTCGTGAGATTTTTCATCATATCATCGTGAAATAGGTCATAGATTGGATGAATCACAAAATCCAACTTTGAACGAGAGAACCCAAAATATTATGATCTGTGAACAAACCCGTTTTACTCAAATGATCAGTGAGCAAGATAAACCAACTTTTTCGAATTTTTTGCATATAAGATCAGATTTCGAGGTTAAAATCAAAATTATTGAAAAACAATTATCTCTTAGTTAGAATTGACATATTGCATAAGGATTTTTTTATTCCAAACCAAATTTGTGGCATAAAACTCAAGTTCGTTAAAGCCTATCAAACTACTGATAAAGTTACAAACGAACAATATTTGTTGTGCCCTCTAAGGTTGTGCTTTGTGATTGAAAAGTCAAATGTCAATGTCATGAGGATATGCCAAAAAGGCAAGTTAAATTAGAAAAAATGAACTGAAAATCACTCTCTTATGAAATGTATATTCATTTAAGCAATATTATAATGAAGCAGTGTATGACAATATTTTTATTAATACATATCTTGAAGTATGCAAATTCTCTAGAAAGAGAACTCACTATTTTTGTTGAGGCCGGATCTGAAACCTGTTTTTATCAATCAGCAAGAAAGGGAGATACTATAGATGTTGAATACCAAGTCATAGACGGAGGACACGGAGATTTGGATATAACCTTTCGCTTAGTCGATCCAACTGGTAGAATTATTTTAGCTGACTTCAAAAAGTCTGAAAATAATCACAGAGTTGATGCTTCCATGCAAGGAGATTATCGATTTTGCTTTGACAATTCCTTCAGCTCCTACAATACCAAGACTGTTTTTTTCGAGCTTATAGTTGAAGGTGAAGAAGGAAATGAATGGGACTCTGAAGAAAAGTTTGACTTTAATGCCATTCAATCAGAACAAATGTATGAGCTGAAAATAGAAGATGTTCAAGAGATCATCAACAGTTTGAGAAATCAGTTGAGTAAGGCTCGAAGTTTGCAGGACATGATAAAATCAAATGAGGCCAGAGATAGGAATGTTGCCGAAGAGAATTACTTTAAAGTCAATACTTACTCCATGTTTCAACTTGTTTTTATGTTAATAGTTGGTTTTGTTCAAGTTATAATGGTTAGGAGTTTGTTTGATGATAGATCAAAAGTTCATAAAATTTGGAAGAATTTGAGTAAAGGTTCAAGCTAGTGTTACATAAAATTATGGCTGGTTCATAGACCAAACTTTTACTTCTCATATTAATTTAATAAAGAGACTGGTGGTGGGTAGTTCATACACACCATTTTCAAAGTTCTAGTGCATTCGAGATAATCATAAATGTGAGTGTTTCCATTTACAATTGATACTTTTTGTATATTAAACATAGACCAAAAAAATATTATGTCAAAATTATTATTGGCTACATTGTCAGGTAATGCATGCGCTCAACTTGAAATTGTTTTACTTTGAGTAATCCTTGAAATGAAAATTCTATATTGAAAATTTTTCATTACAGCAAACTAAAAAGTGAAAGGCTGAGTAAAACATGAAATCTCATGTTGATTTTTCACTGTGACAACTTTCTCAAAAATTAAATATTTAAAGTTTAGTTATTGAACCAGCCGCTAGTGACTATTGAAGTAAAATACTTTGATGGTCAAAATGTAGAGGCAATTTTTTTTATTTCATCGTTTTCACACCTAATCTGTTACATCTCAATACCTACTACTGATGTAAATAAGTCCTGCTAAGCTAGCAACATCACTTTGCCCTTTAAAGGAATTAACAGGAAATTCAATAAAAAAAATATTCAAATCAAAGATTAAAACATAATTTCAGACTCATTTTGAAAATCTTCTTCTTGAAAATTCAGTATAGTGATTTCAAACATTTTACTTCATCATTGAACAATTTTGGCTCCCCATTTTAATTGATTACATGAATCCTCACTTCCTACAGACTTCAACATATAAAACAACTTCTCTTCGAAATGTTCTCAAGTATGTGACAAATAGAATATATCAAGACTTCATAGGCTATTTTTATACTGATTGATTTCCACTTGCTCAGCTATTGAGATTGTCAGGGCTAAATCAAAATTATTCACTTTTTGGTTTTAGTGATGAACTAAATTCAAATCTTGTTTTTGAAATAAATTTTCATTTTAAAATAATGACATTTTTCACTCAAATAAAGAAATTGTTACTACAGATATGAGTTCAACTTATTAACAATGTTTTTTAACTTAAATATATTTCATTTCACGTATATGATTTCCAGTGTGGAGAATTTGCTGTTCAGCAAAGAATTGCCCAAATATGGCATTTATAATCCGAATAACACGTTCATATTCAAAAATGTATGAGTTTTACTAGTTACTGATGCCACCATACATAAAAATTGTAATTTACCCTTGTATTGGGATAGTTTACTTTCGTGATTTTTCAAAATATTTTGCTGACATCAGAATATTTTGAACAAACCTTTCTTTTTTTTAATGTTATAATTGTGACCAATAAGACTAAGGTCTTCCAATGGGAATATTTTGATCAGATTTTGTAACTTTATATCTCTGTATTAGTTATTTATTGCTACCAATGAGAAAAGTTGAAACTACTCCTTTAGGAGTTAGTTTCCTTTATAATTTTTTGTGTATTTTTCTCAAACCTTTTTCCCTCACATTGTGAATCCACAGCTTTGAATTCACAATTTTTGGATATTTCCGTCATTTCCGTTCCAAAACGAACAAATTTCTCATTTCATTCATTGTTGGCAATGGTAGCAAATCAAGAGAGACAAAAAGTCGAAGTTTGATCGAAATATTTCGATCTGAAGGCTTTAGCAAAATACTATGAAAAACCACAAGAGTAAACCACCCTTTCAAAGGGATAAATTCAATTTTTCTTATCGATGGCAATAACATAAAGAGATAAAAATATAAAGTTTGATCGAAATATTTTAATGGAAAGGCTTTGGACAGCAAATTATTTACAAAAATCTCGAGAGTAAACTGCCTCCATACATAGATGGATGCTTTCTCATGTATGGTGGCATGGATATCAGGTAAAATCCATGTGATTTTTCTGATATGGGTGTTATTCGGATTATGAAGGTTCTATTTGGGTGGTCATCTTTTTCTAGTCGGCAAAATATTTTCTCCCGATGATTTTTTCCTTATTGTTAAAGTTATAAAAATTGCAAAAGCAAACATTAATTATTTTATCGATTAATATATCAGAGTTGTCAGACAATAAGTCCCTTGAAAAAGTTCAAGTCACTCCATGTAAATCAATTCTATATTTAAAAAAATTGATTTGGTTTTATTCTACTATGCATAAAGACTAAATTTGAATTGTAACAAGAAACCAAAGATCATTCAGAGATAAGTCGCAATTTATTTCAAAACTCTGATTTCTGAAAAAGGGAATATATATTCATTTGTCAGTGTAATCGTAAAGAATTAAATATGGAAAAATGTATAAGAAAATGAAAGACTAAAATTAGCCTAAAAGTTATGAAAGACTTATTCTTTTCAAAATCAAAAAACAAGTTACTTTATACCAAAGTACCAAATGTATATTTTTATACTTAGATAATGAAAATTTATTAGTATATTGATTTTCTTTCAACTTTTGTATAATTTTTGTGCCATTAACACAACATCCATCTAATCAAGATTTTTATGGTAGGTGTTGTTTAACCCTTTCACTGCAGTAAAAATATTGTAGTAGAGTATTATGTAGAACCAGTTTTTTACATATATACCAACACGATTTATTACTTACACTGCTACAAAGATCCATTGCAAATTTGTGACCATGTGGCCTTTTTGTTTTACACGATTTCGCTTCTTCTGCACGTTTTGGAAATCTTGTTGAATTTGCAAAAAGCGCTAATTCACGCTCACATAAAAAGTAAATGTATATTTTATGTTTATATGAATATCAAGTAATCAAAGTAATATAAAAATAGTAACTCAATTTGTAAACATATCTTTTAATTAACAAATGTTTATAGCATGACTGAAAATGAGAAAATCATTTGGCAACATGAATTTCAGTGACGATATTCCACAGATGCTCTAATGCAGGGTGTTGCCGACAAGAAAGGCAGTGCCTAGTAGAGCTCATTTTCTGCATAAGAGTTGTGTACAAATTCCATTATTGCTTCTACTTTCAAATTTTTTCATTTTTGCACATGAAGATCTAGGTTTCTGTATATCCCCTATTTTTCATAACAAATTGATACAACACGCAAAATGAACAATACAATATAACAAAATATAAAAACCAAGATATATTTGAAACACATTAATTATGAGAATGAAAACATTCTCCAACATGCTCCATATGAGGAATAAGTTGGTTATACTTCAATAACAGCAGAATCTATAGTTGGTATTTATAATATTTATATGAATGTGCTGTCTGCGATGAAAGGGTTAACTGACATTAATTTGCTCCAGACACTGTCAGATAAACAATTTTAGTACAAAAAAGGTCAGTAAGTTATTTGCAATCAAACCACAATAAAATTCAATTATTTATTGTTGTTATTATTTATTAATATTGAACTTTAAGTTTGAGTTGCAACTAGTCAGAAATAAAATATTTCTATTCAACGAGCCACTGTTTTTTTCCAATCCTCATCTTTGTGTCCTGGTTTGGTGTATTTTTTAACCTTTGCATTTTTGCGGGAATGTTTCTTTGTTGGTGCTAAAATATTACGTTTTTGCATGCTCTTGAACCTATCTGAGAGCAAGTTTCCTTCAGTTCTCAAGTTTTTGAGGTTTCCAGAAATTTCATTGCCCATATTGAATTCTAAATCTGGTTCCTCATATTTGATAGAACTTAGAACTTTGGGGTTATTTTTTTTAAGCTCTTTTTTCTGTAAACGCTTAGCTCTCAAAATAGACAGCTTCTGTTGATTGCTATTCAGTTGTTTCATAATAACTTTCAACTCGTGGATATCAGTGATTTTTTTCTTCTCCAACTTAAGGGCTCTTCTAGCCTTTGCAAGCTCCAACTGTTCAGTTTGTTTCCTCCTTTGCTTGACACTTTTCTTCAGGTTTCTTGTGGGGGGGTTTACAGGTTTATATTCGCCATCACTTGCATCATTTTCTTCAGTATTGGTGCCATCTTTGCTAGGTAATCCTTCAGACATCTCCACCAGCCAAGATTGCTAAACAAATACAAAATTTGTGATGTACTGTTTGGAACTTTTGGTTACTGGAGTTTCATCCCAGCACCAAACCGTTATTTTTAACACCTTGATACCTGTTTCCATCACCAAGTGACCATCTTCAAGAGGAAGAATAAACTAAATATACATACAATGTTTGTTTGAAGGTGGTTGGTGTTTCATAGTGCATTTTATTAGTTCGGACTTCCATTGTCTAATATGATATAAATTGATTTGAAATCCCTGAAAGAATCTGTAAACAATTAAAAAGATAAGCTGAAAAATAACAATTACATTAAGCAAAAAAAAAACTGAAATTACAATGAAATAAAATACAAGCAACAACCAAAAAATAAAAGTATTAACACGAGATGAAAATTTAAAAAAAAATTGTTATTTTTCAGCTAATATTTTACAGATTCTTTCGGGGATTTCAAATCAATTTATATCATATTAGACAATGGAAGTCCGAACTAATGAAATATACATACAATGTTGTCCTCATTTAAACCATAAGAAGCCTCTGCTTGGTACCTGCGTCTTAATTGTCTAAATTTTATAATGTTGCCTTATACCACACCTGAAATATGGAAAACCAGAAAAATCAGCAGTCGCCCATAATATTTTGCAATCAAACCATTCCCTAGACTTTAGTTCATTAAGATTAGTTAGACAAGTCAACAACAGGCATCTAGATGCCTATGAGCGTGCAGAAATAAGTAAACATAATTATATATATGTATGTATG